TAATAATAAAAATTACTTCAGGATTACACTTAAAACAGAAGCATATTTTATTTTGTGAATGAATTAAAACTGCTAAATCAGAAAAGAAGTTAAAGAGTAAAAATAAATAAAAGCCCTCTCTCTTGTATTCTTTCCAGTTGCATAATTCAAAGGTAATTCTGACTTCATATTGAACGGAGATGGACATTATTCATTAATATAGGATAGGGATGGGATACAAGATCAAGATGAAGACACCTAGCTCTGGTTATCTACAAACGGGTGTCTTCAGGCAGAGCAATGCTCGATGCATTGCGTAAGTACAGCTTACCACTGACATCTGAGACAGCCTATAGCATCTGGAACATCTGGATGGGGCTCACAGATACGGCCAACAAGCTACAAAAAAACATGTTTCTGTAGTGCAGCAGCTGGAGGGCAGACAGTAAACTCTAGAGCATTTCAAATGACACCAGGCATCAACATTCAAGCAACCAGACAGAATGTTTAACGTCTCATTATAAATCAACAGAGAACTCATCAGCATCATCAGTGGAGTCTGGAGACCAATTCAATTCTTCAATTCACTCTAAAGTAGACATCTAGTCGCCAGTGAGTTGAATTGCTGTATATAGACACACAAATTTAGTCGTCTTAATCTCAAGCTGAGTCCTACCACAGATGTCTTAAGTATATCCTTACATTCATCAAACCCAGCAGAGTTCTAACATTCATATAGCAATAACTGTGCCTCGCATGACCCAAATAAATTAACAAAAGTTACATTATTTTCCTTCTCCAGTGACTCTCATGAAAAAATATACTCAACCAGCTTCTTGTTTTCCACCCCAATTAAAGATGCATGTCAATCAAGTACTTCACAGGAGAATTACTACAGACAAAAGGAAACTCGGTGCTCATCAGCAGAATACTGCTTTAGTGCCTCCAGAAGGTAAACAAGAAGCATCTGGATTTTGCCCTGGATCATTCCTCATCCACTCACCTATCTACATTAATATTTTAGTACAAATTAGGAGCATGTAATTTGTGTGACTTTCCTGATCATCCCCACTTAACACTTAACTTAGGTTACAACCTACATTACTATGGCAGCATTGAAGGAAACCGTCTTATCAACAAGCTACAAAGCATTTGCAAAGACTACATCATAAATTAAGTTTAATTTGCAAACATCAAGAAACAAATGAACGAAAATAGTATTTCCAAGCACAACGGTTTATTTTCTTTTATCTTTTGCTTTATTTTGGCTTACGGAAAAAAATTAGGGACATGAACACCGATGATAGCAACACATTCTTCACCTTAACAATTTCTTGGATTATATCCAGTTACGGGAACATCCCACTCACTCCATAAACATGAAATCCTAATATTTAATTGCCTTAATTTTTAAGTGCAAAAAACCTACTGTAAAAACTGTACCTCAACAAATTGTTGTCGGGACCCACGGCTGCTCTCCTGTAGTGACTCCCCCCACTACATTCTTTTGTATTTAAAGCTGATTGTGTATTTTCCTCCAAAATGCTTAGCAGCCGTAACAATACTTCAGTTAGATTAGCTATCATTCTTGTCTGAGGAACTCACAGAATGCAGTTTAGCTGCATTTTATACGCGAATCATGTAAGAAATATTTTTCTTCATCTGGTTTAGGAGACATGACCCACAAAAAGCACACACAATGAATAAAATTGCAGTTATGAAGACAGTAAATTTGAAACACATATTATTAAAAATTAGACACCATAGATGGCATAAAAGTATATGTCCTAAAATGAAGAGGTAGTGGTCAGACACCATATTTGAAAGAGTAGGCAAAAACTATGGGAACTCACTACTTACCAAGGGTGGATTCAGGAACCTAAAATTAGTCTGAAAATAGAAAACTGTAACTAGATGGCTTTTCCTCTCGATGATATTCATTCCTGTAGCACCTAATTCTGCCATCCAGCATCATTGTCTCCAACATATTATTTAAGGATTTTGTAATTTCAGGTGTCACTCCCTCTCTTGCTCTTATGCAATGCCTTTCTTCTGAGAACTGCAGAGGTTTTTATATAAATAATAAGGTACATAACACCTATGAATTAGGAAGTTCCATCTTTCACAGATGGAACTGAAGCACAGCTAACATGCCCCAGATTCACATATTTTCTGAAGTCATCTTCTCCCAGAGAATATTACAATACCTCTAATTTGCTTTGGAAAATTACTGCGTCCTAAGTGAACTCTTCTGCAATTTGAAGGCATCTTATTGCAGTAATACCTAACACGAAAGAGAAAGGGACTGTTATTTTTTCCTGAATCAGATTCTGGTGATATGTGTCATTATATGTCCAAAACAAGTGAACAGTAATGTCATAGAGGTATCGGCCATGACTCTGTAGCTGCAGGCAAGCTCCATTTCACACTTCAAAAAAATTAATTCAAAACCTGCTATGCTTAAAAAAACCACATCATATACTCTCTAACCTGAATGACCAACACAAAGCGAGTTCTCTAAATAAAAATTTAAACATAAATTCACTGATTTGTGAGCAAATACATCTATAGCGGATAAGAAAAATCTGATTCTTCAGAGCATTGCCATCAGCCTCAGCATGAGTCAAAATGATTTTTGGCAACAGCAGGAAGCAAGCTCTCCTCACCCTGCTGCAGCCGATTTAAAGTTAAGGCACATGTTTTATGAAGAAGCAAGGCGGCAGCAAAGCTCAGAGCAACTGTTTCTAATTGTTGTGATTAGACAGACGACAAGTGAAATGAGTCCGAGGGCTCACATGGGAGACCATTTTGACAGAGATAAACTTTCCTCTCCAGTTAATTTGCGCATGGCAATCCCATTAAGTGGAGCAATGCAGAGAAAAGGTTCACATCAAAAGTTTTCATTGACAAATCACTTCTTTCCAGCCGACACCATTCTGTAAAGATCCTACAGGTGGTGACAGGACTTGGAATTTGGGCTCATAAAGCTCCCCGCGGTACTGCTGCCTCTGTTACAGCCTAGAAAAAAGTAACCTTAGCTGGATAACTATGATCCGATCGTACACGGAGCTTTTTAACTGTACAGGCAGAGGGACTGGCTCTTTGCTTCACTTTTGCGGGGTGTTTTTATGTGGGTTTTTTTTTCTTTTCGGTGATACTGATCTCCATAGTACTCTTCTGAATCAATAAATCCGTTACAAAATAAAGGCATTTTCATCACTCACTTCAGCTGCTCTGCCAAAAAAAAAAATCTTAATTAGCCAATATTTTTGGGCTGCTTTGTTATAACCAGCAGAATAGTGAATCTGCCCCCAACTGTTAATAATTAAAAAGTCATTTAAGGCTGCATATCTTCAAAGTATTAAAAATAATTATGCGACAGGACTCTTATGGAGTATGCTCACTTAATATAGCTCAAAGAAACGAGATAAGAATTACCGAAGATGTACATATAAGGTTGCCTTGCAATGAAGGTACGTGAGTGAGAGAGGGCAGCGGAGGAGGAAATCCTCATCTGGAAAAGACTACACAACTCAGAAAATTTTCTTCAAATACTCTTTAGTGGAATCTGCAGCTTTTTATCTAATCTTGGAAACATACAGTCATGCAGATAAGGCAGCATTAAATGGATCACTGCTGCCTCTGGAAAGGAAGATAAGTTAGCCTTTGGTACTTAGATATTCGCTTTCTGACAGTTGTTCTTCTTTCTCACAAACTTCCTCTGCCAAGCAAAGATTATTTGGGATTGACAAGTCTGTGCTTTGGAATAAACAAGATCTTTTCTCTGATAGGGTGTTGGAAACAGATGCTTAAGATACAGATCACAGTACAGTCTGTCAGGTGTATTATACAGGTTGAGGGAGTCTCAGGGAAAAGGTACCAAGCCACATGAATACCCACATATTCCTAACAGTGGCTAGGAATCCGTGCTATTACAAAAGATATCAAGAGAAGGAAATCTTTCCCTCATACACTGAAACTCTGACGAGAAAAAGACAATTCTGCTTCCTACCCTGTGGGAGGATGGAGACAAAAGGGTGGAAAGAGGAGACAAGACAGTGAGGCTGGCGTAGCTGAAACAGTAATCTGGAGAAATTCACAAAAAGCAATGCTAAGACCTAACAAAAGTATGAGGTGGTTTGATTTCTTCAAAAAATACATACCCCTTTGGGATCACTAACTGCTCTGTAACCAACACCAGCTGCACGAGGCACATCAGGGCTGCCAGCATTCACGCAGTCATTATCAATCAACAAACCTGCTGCCACATCCACGCCTGGAGATGGGGAAAAGGTTACAAATGGTCCCAAATTCCTCAGTGCCACTTTGTTAACCACCAGTGCTGAGGCTGCTGCTCTATATACACCCTGTGCGTTACCTGCAGCCCTAATGGGTGGGTGTCCTCTTCTCTTTAAATTTTACTGTCTCCTAATTCAGGCCAGGATGCTTCACTGGTGAGGTAGGGAATCCAGTGAACATCACGGAAGTACAAACATTTTAAGACTTGTCTAAGTTTTAGTATTTTTTTTAAATGCACACACGGAAGCAGAAGTCATCTATAACAACTGTCACTAATTGCAGTTGCTGCCGCACATGAGCAATAATGTGATGCCCTGAAGTTCTGATGCTGGAATATCTTCTTTTTGCTTCCCAGGAGATGTTCTTCAGCAAAATAATCCCAAACCAAACACATTACATACACATGTAAATACGCATGTATGTGGACAAGCATTTGAAAATGACAGTTCCTCATCAATTTATCCATAAATTACCACTAGTCATTTTCAGATGTGATGTAGCTTATCACACCTGTACAGGCTGCAGGTATACTTGAACTCAGGATCTCTCCTTTTTATTGCCAAACGTGACATTTAATTGAAAAGAGGTGTTGAATCTTTGTTAAGATACATACGTACATACTACCATTAACCACTTCAAATACAAAGTATGCTGACATTATGTCGGTACAGATTTTCTGTTCGAATACTTGACACTAGCCAAGCCCTGCACTTTTCTTTTACCTGGAGTAATGGATAGCTTGATGTCCTGCAATATTAAAATAGAAGTCAGTTGTATGTTTCATCTCATCAGTATGTCCAGAGACTTCAATCCAGTGTGCTATTGGGAGGCAGTAAACTCCATCTACTATGTTGCTCTGGTTGTAAACACAACTTCGATCGTGATGGGGCCCATTACCTAGAACAGAAGAAAGGACAATTGCAGGCTGTGTATCCAGAAAATCTTCTGAAAGATTTGCAGGAGATGTTAGCTGAGTATTTAATGCAAGGAGTGTTTACTGCCTGCTCTGACTGCATTTCTCATAACATATTATTAACACCTGAAATAGTTGTAACAGAAGCAGTGCCACAAAGCAAATGCTCAGCATCAAAATCAATCTTTGCAAATTATTTAAAAAATATTAAAGCTGCATAAGACTCCCAAACCATCAACCGTGGCACTTACAATTTCAAGAATAATTAATTTCATTTAACTTCCTCATTTGATGTCTGATAATACGTTGAACGTTTCTGCTGTGTGACCTCCCTCGCGGGGGTGCAGCTTGCTGTGGCCCGAGGCCTAGCTCTGACACGGCACAGCAGCGTCACCGCGCCTCAGGCTTACTTCTAAGGAAATGGCTGAGCTACGACAAAAACCTCGGAGAAAGCACGGAGTACGGCTGCGCAAGATCAGAAAGGTAAAACTGCAAACAAAGGTAGGACTGGTGACACTGGAGTTGTGACCAGCTTAAGGATTCAAGAGGAAAAACACCAACATGGGAAGGCATTGAATCCCGAGGAAGAAAGGCAAGTGGGAAAAGGGAGCAGAGAAGGGTGGTCCTCCTCCACCTCCTTCACTGCCGCTTGGCCTGCAAAGGCTCTTCAGGTGTCCTGTCAGGGACAGGATGCACATCAACGCCCAGCCTAGGAGCTCATTAAATCCTGCCTTTTATGTTTGCTAACTGATAAACAATCGCTTTGTATTCTTCAGATGCACGTGTCCCACTTACAAGGTCTGCTCGTACACAGTAAAAGTTGCCTGAAATGACCCAGAGAGAGATGGTCACATCTGCAGCGCTGAGTCATCACGGTTACCTAAAGCACCATTGTCTACAGTAAGAATTTTTTCTTGCAGTTTTCCACTATTTAATAGTGCCCATTACCCTTTCTTCTTCTCTTGCAGAAGTAGTGTGAGCTTTTATACAGAAAACCAATTTTTAATACCATGCCAGAGTAAGCAATTTGAATTGAACCGGGTCATGTCATCAATCAAAAGGTTATCTAGTCTCCAAAAATTCATTCCATGTATATTCTAACCCTGCCCCCATTTTTATATCCTTATTGTAATACTAATTGTCATGTAGGAATTACTGTGCAGATTAGAAGTGACCTAGTCTATGGCTTGCTTTTAATGTAAACCTGTTACACTTATACATTATTAATGAGGTTAGAACATCTCTGAGTAAAATTATGCCCAAAGGAATATCCTCAATTACACACTGCACGTAAATGCATGACCAACTTCTAAGCACCACATTTAGGGAAATTTGCTAGAGCAAGAGCATTTTGGGAGACGTATTAATGCAATGATCAGAGAATAAGACTAACATTTAATAGTAAAGCTCAATCTCCTTATTTCCAGATGACATGCAGCACTTCTTATCATAATTGTGAAATATTATTATTTACCAAAAAGAAAAAGAAAATACGAGGCAGAAAACTATTTTCTCTTTCTATGTTGCTGAACCATTATGCATTGTATGCAATGGTACGACACAGCTTTTGATAAATAAGGTGAGCAAGATCAGTATACAGCTCCTGAAGCTACAAATCTTACCACTATATTTTTATCTCACATTTCTAATTGTTTACACATTCTTACAATTTTTAAACAATATTTGAAGAAAGCAGCATACATCGACAAATACAACAGCATAACAAAACCTATGGATGTTTATGACACTTAATTGACTTCATGTATTCCGCAAAATCTTTACAACCACAACTAATACATCTTGCCTTCCCCATTTTACTCTCTGATACCTGTCTGTAGCGATGCACATCACCATGGCCGTGCCATCACAATGCTGTGTCTGATCCCAACCCCCACCCACCCATAGGCAGACGTCCTGTCCCAGCCTCAGCCCCGTCCCAGGGAGGTGCCTGATGCCCGGGGCTGGGGCTGCCCCGCTGACCCCAGTTGGCTGATCCTGGCTGCCAGCCCCGTGGGGGGGTTCCCTGCAGCTCCCAGCCCCCATTCCCCAGGGAGCCGTCAGCCCTCACTGCACCCTGGCAGTTTTGAACCATGTTCTCAGGATCTCTGGCTCTTTCATCACCCCCAGCCCTATTTTTCCTTGTACAGGCACCCTTGCACCCACTCCGGCTCCCTCAAGGACTGCCTCTTCCATTGCTCACAGTGATGCTCCTGTCCCATGAGGGTCTCTGCATGAATTTTTGCAATCACGATCTCTGATCTCTCCCTCTTAATTTCTTCTTTCCTTGAGGTGCTAGTCAGTCCTACAAGACAACACAGCCTCACTTTTCTCTGTCTTCATATCTCAGTTGCACCACTACATGCCTCCCACTTTCCCATCTCCAGCTGCTGCTGCTTGAGGTGCACATTCTTCTATCATTTGTCAGTTTTACTGATCATCCTCCTTCTCCTCCAGCTTTAATTCTTAGCTCTTTTTTTCCTTCCTTCTCTATCATCTGCCTTCTTAAACTGCAGTAAACTCCTTGCCTTGTAACCTTTCCACCTTCAACATCATTCATTCCCTCACCTAGCCTACAACCACACATGAAAGTGGGGCGAAGAGTAAATTGCCATGAGATGTTTGTTTCATTTGTTCCCTCAAACAAGTTTTGTCAAATCTCATGCTGAAAAGCTTCCTTCTCTAATTGTTATTTATAGCTGTTGATTTTTCTGCACCACTCAACCTCACCTTCCTGCTGTGGCCTACAGTCAAACGGGAATCTCAAAAGGTAAGTTTCCCTTTGACTGAGGTAAACAATAACAGCTTGCATTTGTAATGTTCTTCATGAGAACTGCACAGCTCTTTACTACTCCTTACATAATATACTGATCTATGAATTAACAATCCTCTTATTGAAATATGATCTCAGTGCAACAGAATGTATATGAATATATATTCAACATACATATTCATGTGTGTGTATATATACATTCATGTATATATATTCAACAAATACAGTGCTATAATTTCAGACAGGAAGGGCAGAGTGCTACCATCTCCAAGAAATACTAATTTAGAGAACAGAATGATCACACTGAACTGTGTTCAGGAAGCTGAATTCTCTATTCCCCTTGCAAGAGTTACAAAAGAAGGCAATTACCACAAACCATCGGGATCTCACTACCAAGGCAATATCCAAACGATACAAAAGTGCTTCTCATCACAGTTTGCTTCGCAAGATGCATTTAACAAATAAGTTTCAGAAAAAGAGAAAATTGTTGTACCAGCTCACATCATGCTTCTGCTAGCACGCTTTGTCACAGGAAAACCATCATATTTGGGATGCCATAAAACAACAATGCAAGGAAACAGTTTCAGAAGTAGAACCAGGTGACAAGTTTGGAGGAGTAATGTAGAATTCATTGATAATTTAGAGCTGCTATAAAAGGCCTACAGATTGAATTCTCTCAACTTTTATCTTCTATTTAATACAAAAATAAAAGTCAGCCAATGAAACCAGCTTTCATTCAAGATAACTGATCATAAACTGTGTTTTAAATGGAAAACAATTAGCATCACTTACATGTTCTGTGATATATTTGCAGAATGTATACAGCTAGGAAAATGAGCACAGCTTGGGTGATGAGCAGAAATCATTAGCTGGATAACCCTCAGTTCTTCCTTTTCCACCCCTATCTTTTTACACCTTTCCCCACGAGTTTCCCCTGTCTGAAGCAAGATGCATCAACCTCATGACATGAGGTACATCCAGGCAAAACATGCCTTAAGTCTCATCTTAGCCCCTTTAGCTCTGCTGATGGAGCAAACTCCTTGCATCTCATCTGTGGTAGACTTACACGACTCCGTCAGACTCAGAAGAGCCAGCTCATAACTAACCACAATTATCACAAGCACTGGAAGAGCTCATGAAAAGAACAAAATAGATTTCAGAGGCAGGATAAAAATCTGGCACACTGAAACATTGACTGTCCCCTCCCTCACCACAACAGCCAAGCAAAGTCCTTTCTGGATTTGCATCCCCGGAGCATGGAGACCTCCCCATGCCCAGGACAGTGAGTAGGGCAGGGTGTCAGCCACAGGAGCGACCAGCAGCACCACAGGTCAAGACCACCGCTCCCTCGCTCTCTCTCTAGTCCAGGGCTGTTGGTGTGGTTGGTTAGTTTAGGAGGAAACAGAGCGTGTGATGAAGGCAGTGGGACCAAGATCAGAAGGTGGCTCTTCTCAGTGCATGAGAAATGTGTTGCTGCCCTTTCTAATTTCTTACCTTCTGTGCAGGCACCAGAGAGAAAAGGCTGTGGCCAGTGCAGACAGAAGCGCCGTGAGACTGCCTGTATGCAGTCTGGACATGCCTGCTCAAGTCGGAAGCTGCTCATACCCACACCAGCTTCCTACTCCACTTAAAGCTTAAGTTTGTCCTACCCCACAGGTCCCCATTACCTGTTTTATCTGAAAGGCCACCACACCTTTGGATTTTCTAAGTGACTTCATTAAGAAGTCAGATGCAGCAGTCCTTCCCCGCAGAAACTACGTTCAGCTTTATTGCTCACTTCACAAATGCACAAAGCATTTCATAAAGTTACCAAAACTGAAAGCTGAAGTTTAGTTTCTGTACCTGAAGCTTGGAAAGGCCCCACCTGCAAAATGGGACCGTGCTGGGCAACCACATCTGTCAGAGTGCCTCTACAATTTAATTTGCTGCAGTCCAACATGCTTCCAGGATCACAAGTGCACATCTTTACCAGCAATGAAGTGTGAACCACTGGCCAGTCCCCTGCACATACGCCTCACACAGAGACTGTACGACTGGAGGACTTTGCATCCCTGTTGTGAGTGCTCTAGACTTCCCTCCACTAGGAGGGAAACAGCTTGAAGAATACCAGTGCTGAGCATGAGGGCATGCTCCAAAATCCCTAGAGGAGCTGCAATACAAATTCTCACCAAAAGGAACCCTTTGGTGCACAAATTGTTCATGTAAATACATCTGTCCCCTTACACTGACTAGTAACCCCAAGCTTACGCAAACCTTGTGCGAAGACTTCAAGATATTTTGAATAAACCCCCCCACGAGGGGGGCCTCCAGAGTGGGAATTCACCACGGCTCCCATTCAAACGCCCTGCTCAGACGTGGCAGCCACGTGGCTCCTCACCACCATTTCCAAGACAAGAGCACCAGTCTCAGAACTCACATGTTGCTCACAGGACACACCATCAGACCACTGGGCAGGCTTCCAGGTACATTTCATAGGAAATAAACAATTACTTGGGTGAAATTTTGGGGTTTTTACAGACAAGAAAACATTGTGCAGCCTTAAAGATTTTGGGGGATTTTAACAGCATTTCAACTTTCTGTTCCTAGAGCCAGTAGTAAAGCAAAGAAAATCACATCTGTTTTCCACTCACCTATTCATCTTTGCAGAAGAGAAAACAAGCACAAATGCCCTTTGAGAAAGGGCAATACACAACAGGAAACACATGCTTTTACAGCCCAAACCATGTCTAAATTAATATTTTTCTTAATGTTGTTTATATTCATATTGTTCCAAGTGGCAAAACATTGGTTTAATTATTTTTTGGGGGGGGAGGCAAATATACAGTTATTTGAAAACATGTAAAATTCAACCATAAAAAAGGGTAAGTTAAACATCTGAACAGTACTGATCATCCTGCTAATTGATCATGTGAGCTTTCCTAATTAAAGAACAAAAGGAATTTGGGAGAGTTTATTAGAAGACACAGGTCCTAATTTAACCAATAGGGTAGCACTCTTTTTTCCTTCAATAAGGTCCACAATGATTTTATTTAAATTCTGTCTTTGTGTCCATTCACAGCAAAAATGCTTATCTGAAAGAGAAACATAAACATAAGTTTCTAGGCATTAAATTATAAAGTTTCTCATTGCTTTTGCAACCCACCTGTTGCTCTCTACTGTGGATGGTTGTGCAGTAGAATCCACTGATATAGGTAGGGAACTGCTGGAGAACAAAGCAACCAGCAGCCCTGCTTACAGCTCAAGCCTCACAGCGGGCTCCTTCAAAATCTGCATGACTGCACATATGGCTCCTGGTTTAATGCATATAAAGGATGATCAAACTGACACATGAAGGAAGCTAGCTGCACAACCAACCAAACAAAAGATTAAACCCACAGATCTCCACATAACTGATAAATGGCACCAGCAAAAGATGGAGACAAGAACGAAACAAAGGAAAATCAGATGAAGATATAGTAAGAAAAAGATGTCCAAAGGTCAAAGACTGGAAGAAGATAAGCAAGGACCAGAAGAGGATCTTCTGAAATTTGATCTAATCACATACAGTAACAGAATACACAGAAAAAACTTCAGTTACTATTTTATTACAGCTGCACTGAAGAGATGAAAAAAGTATAATCCAGAACTCTGCCAACAGCACACAGATTGCATAATGTTCTGGAAGAGTCACATTGGTGAAATTATCAGTTTGATCTTAAAAGATAATGAGTAAAATCTGGGTCAATGAAATTTCTTAGCACCATTAAGTGGTGAACAAAAAAATCATGAATGAACGAAAAAATCAGATTGCCTCTTCCACTGACTCTGCAGAGCTCTTCGCAACAAAGCCACTTAGTGTACCGCTCAGCCGCAGCTGCCCCAGCTACCGGCTTGTTGTATACCTCGCTGGAAGTTTTAATTTTTTTTCTGTTTTTTTCCTGTGCGAAGGAAGGTATGTAGAAACTCCAGGGCACAGCAGCAGCTGTAGAAGTGCTGCAAATCTCATCCCTGCCTTAGCCAGACCCTACACCACAAGCGTACACCTTTCAAACCTCCATACCCCAGCACAGTCAGCGTGTTTCTCAATCCACTGCTACCTTTGAAAAACCACGGGGCTACTTAGATGACCTTAGATACGCACATTAGCTTCAATGGCAACTAACAAATCCAAACAGCAAGCAACCCAGAAATTTTCAGATCACCTACTTCAAATCAGTAAGAGCAAAGACTTACTTTTTTAATCTTTGTCATAAATTTTGCATGAACCAGCAGGCTTCACATGTCAAGTCAAAATTTTAAGTATGCCTAAATAGTGTAAGTAATTACATTTGAAATATTAAATA